GCCACTTGACCTGACTCTGCAGTGCGCCGAACACGTGAAGCTTGGTTCCCGTGTAGCAGGCTTTCCCTGGTACCCGGCAGCTCACAAAGCTGTTGCTGCTGTTCCTGCTTTGTGAGCACTGGGAGAAAATTCCATAACACAATAACCAGGCGCAGATCCTGCCCCAGACGAAACACGCGCACGCAAAGATCACCGGCAGTTGCTCCGGTTCTGCCTATCTTTCGTTTCACTCTATAGGACAACTACGCGCCTTGTACCTCTAAACAAGGCCGCTGGTCTTTGTACACACAAAAACACACCTTCGGGTGGCAGTGCCCGGTGCTCAGGACGGCGATGCCAGACGTGACATCCAGGTACTCCTTTCCGTGGACATCGCGGACATAGACGCCTTTGCCGGACGCGATGTGGATGTCGCTACACTTCGAGTAGCACGCCGCGTGCTTGTACGACGACCGCGCAACCTTCTGCATCGGCTGGATGGCGACGGCCGGCTGGGCCACTGCTGCGCGGGCGGTCTCCAAGCTGAGGCATCGCTTGGCGATCTTGCTGGAGTTGGATCCGGACATTTTGTTGTTTTTTTTTTGTTTTTTTTCTTTTCTTTCTCGTGGAAAGACTTGCAACTTCTTTTTTTTTGCTTGTTGCTTCTTCTTGTGTTCTGCGCGGAGAGCACTAATATGTAGGTGTTTTTCTTTGTAGGATTTCCGAAGTTGGAAAGACCTGTGTAAGTGTGGGTAGGGCTTTAACTGGGTAACGGCTGAATCGAAGTATTTTCACATTTTCCGGATGTAGGCCTATTTTGACCCATTTTGGCAAGTTTTCCAGATTTTGGCCATTTTTTGCCGTTTTAGCCGATTTTCACATAGTTTGGCCTCTGTTGCCGGGTTTTCCAGATTTTGGCCAATACAGCCCAGTTGTCACTTTCACCAGTCGGCTTGAGACTCCGACACGCTGCTTATGGGTCCTGTGATACCTCTCCGAAGGGTGGGTGGGGCGGGAATCTTTCGGGCGTTTCTGAAGTTGCGTGAGTCCATCAGCGTATGCAAACACTTGGGATGCACGGCGGGGGAGCCTCCTCCTCATATAGTTGTTGCTCATTTGGGGTCTCGGCCATCTTTTGGGGGATCCGTTAAGCGACGGCAAGACCAGAAGTCTTGAGCCGAGTGCCCGATGGAGAAGCTACTGACTACTTTTTAGAGTGGGGGTTACACGAGGTAAGAGAATCGGTGGGTACCTTCGTTGTTGGTCATTGGTGGTTTCGGCCATCATCCACATACCTTACTTACGGTAGGCCCTCCTCAGTATGGTGCGGTATGACCGTCTCGTTTCGGGAGGTGAAATTCTTAGATCGTTGGAAGACGAACTTCGGCGAAAGCATCCGACAAGAATGCCTACCACACCATGCAGTAGCACTACACAGCAGGGATGGATATGCTGTTGATGCTCTGCACAGCGATGTGTGAGCACTCACCACCTCCTAGTGCTAGGGCTCTACACAGCAGTACCACCTAGCGCAGTAGTGCATGTAGGTACGTACGTAGTACTCCTACTATTCATCCGTACTGTGTATACCCATGGTCCACGCTACGTGTGTGTATGCATACACTACACCGATAGCAGTACACGGTATGCAGTACGTAGTACTAGGGAACTTCTGCGAAAACATTCGACAAGAATGTCTTAACCAGGAGAGCGTGGGGATGGTGCTGAGCTTGCCGCATCTCTTCGGGTGAAATCTTCCGCCTTGTGAATCTCAGGTCTCCCGAGCCGTCGCCCCAGTCTTTCCGCGTGTGCTGCCTCCGCCGAAATCGGGACAAACAACGAGAGGAGAACAGAAAGCGCTTCTTAATTTTTTGTCGCATGTATACACAGGAAGACAGAGGCGAAGGGTATGGAAAAAAAGGTAGACAGAAACATGCAGAGGTGCAGGGAGGGGGTAGAGAGCAACAAGAAAGGGAAAGAAGAACAGCACACACACAAACATACAAACAGTAAACTAAGACAGGGTGGGTGGCAAGTAAGGCAAAACCCTTCGTTTATTTATTTTTCCTTTTTTGCTTGTGCACTCAGGCTCCACCGCTCGACAAATCATTGTCTGAAGCCCGTGTTTTTTTCTTTTCATGAGCTGCTGTGACACGATTGTCGGCGCTGAGTGGTTGGCATTAGTAGCAGTGTCTTTCAACACAGAGCGTTGTGTGGACATCTGCTTGGAGAAAAAGGACCGACCAACACCTGCAGGAATACACAGTTAGCGAACTCGCAAGGGCTGCGGCACAAGTAGAGAGCCAATCGGAGGCAAAGCCGAACCCGAAACCCCCAACAAAACGAAAGCAAACCACCACCGTGCCAGAGCACCGAACGTGCCAGAAGTCTTGCACTCTTGTGAACGCCAAGAGTGGCACGCTCCGAAACGGATCGGGGGCGCAAAAAATGATGAAGTTGCTATCGGGTTTGCCCGCAACCCGACGGGGTTTCACAGCAGTGCATAATGGATCGCCGGTGCAAGGAAGTTCGGCGACCACAGGGGTTGCGGCGCGCTGCTGACTACCGACTTCAACAACGTTCGCCTCACTACTACACGTCCTCACTACTACACGTCCTCACTACTACACGTCCTCACTACTACACGTCCTCACTACTACACGTGGCGAAACGGATCGGAAGCGCAAAATGACAACGCTGCTATCGAGTTTGCCCGCACACCCCGACGGCAGTGCATAATGGATTGCCGGTGCAAGGAAAAGGTTCAACGACCGCAGGGGTTGCGGCGCGTTGCTGACCACCAACGTTTGCCTCACTACTACACGCGGTGACACGGATCGGAAGCGCAATGACAACGCTGTTATCGAGTTTGCCCGCGCACAACAACGAACCGGACTCCACACCAGCGCTGAACTGGATCGTGGGTTCAACGAAGAGGTTCAACGGACCCAGGGGGTTGCGGCGCGTTGCTGACCACCAACGTTTGCCTCACTACTACACGTGGTGACACGGATCGGAAGCGCAAAATGACAACGCTGTTATCGAGTTTGCCCGCGCACAACAACGAACCGGACTCCACACCAGGATTGTGGGTTCAACGAAGAGATTCAACGGACCCAGGGGGTTGCGGCGCGTTGCCATCACCGGCTGCAGAAGCTCTGCACGCTGTGGTTGACACCATACATAGGGCGGCACGCCTCGGGCACCCAGCGACATGCAATGCCTGCCCAATTGTCTCTTCGTGTGCGGCTTTTAAGTGAGGCCTTCGCCGCTACCAGTGGGGCCAGTGGAAAACAAATGAACGCTAGCGTGTGTGTAAAAAGAAAGGAACGGGTGCAGGAATCCAAAATACAAGGGAGAAGAGAAACAGCCTCGCGAGCGGGTGGAGACACGCAAGGAGCTACGAAAGACGTGCCGGTGCGGAAGGTCCATCGTTTCCCCCGCCCGCGGCTTTGCTTGCAGCCGGGAGTCTCAGCCTCGGGAAAATCTTAGTTCGGTGGCCAGGCCGAGTCTCGGCTTCGGGGACGGGGGAAATCTTAGCTTAATGCTAGGGCAAGACATACTGCCTCTCATGCATGTTTGATGCTAGCATCAAGTCTTCTTCGAAGGGAGGAGGGCAAGGACTCGTTTGACGGGCAACAACGCCTCGGGCCTCGGCACGAGCCAGAAAGAAGCTCCCCAACCGGACTTCTAACCGGAGCCGACAACAAGGCACCCCGGAAACCGTTCCTCCTCCCGACCTAACGGAGCCAAAGGATGGCCAGGTACATTCATGTTCCCGATGTTTCCCTCTCAAATGGCTAAGGCCCAGCCTCCGTTTGTTGTCCTAGTGAGCTCTATACTTCAAAAGAACATTTCCGGAGTTGGGGCTTGCACTGATAAACGAAGCAACGGACGATCAGCATCAACTGACCAAAGGTGATGGAAATGATAAGGCAAAAGTTTCTTGTTCTTCGCGTGTACAGGGTATAAACCTCTCTGGGGGGGGTTTCCTGTATTAGCACTTTTTCGTTGGCTTCGTTTTCTCTTTCATGTGCAACCGTTGTTCCGGAAATGTTCCCGTCAGTAGTACAGATGTACTATTAAAAAAAAAAAAACGCCGAGTCCCCGCAGACAGCCCAACACCGACATCTTCGAAGCGCTGGGTTTATCCGTTCACGGCACCGCACTCGTTCGTATGACGCAGCAGCACTTACTCTACGTCAGCATCTCCAACATGAACGCGAGTTGGGAAGAATCCAAAAAAGGGTGGCTAGTGACTTGATTGCTCAGTTCGTTGTCAAATAAACTCGGAGGTGCCGCCTGTATTCATACTAACGGAGGCTAGATGGCGAATCCATCCACCAATTTACGGTCTTTTTTTAGCTGGACGCTCGAGCCACCCGAGTATAGCAGCAGGTACGTTGTAGTCGGGTGCTTCAGAGTCTCCTGTTGAACCGTAGAGGCGCTTGAGGCGCGGGTGAAGAGGTTTGGAGAGAATCTTAGTCTAACGTTTAGGCAGGACACTGCCTCTTGGGGGTGGAATAAGGAGGGAACGTGTTGCTCAGGTCGGGTGATGGGTCACTCCGTCGTAAAAACCTTCCCGTCAATCCTACACGGCGCACTGATCATTGGAAAAACAGTGTTCTGACTCGTCACATTACTACTGAAAAGTGCTCATTACTGATTTGACGTGACTAGTCATATTACTACTGAAAGTGCTTACTTTTCAGTGGTAATATGGCTGGCCATTCTTACTGTTTACTAGTAGTGACTACTGCATTTTGTGAAGGAATCCCTTTATAAGGCGTGCTTATTTTTCCACAAAAGTGGCTCATTCACTTGTGGGAATGACTAGAGAGAGAAAGAGAGACGAGTTAAAGTGCAGGGACCATCTCTCCAGGAAGCATCCGGTCGCCCCACTACTGTCCCGTACAACTACGGCGGACGTGACTGCAGTAGTCCTATGACTAGCAAGATTTCTGAGAGGGAGAGAGAGACGAGTTGGGGGACCAGTTTCCGGTCGCTTCACTACCAAAAAACGCTCCTACGCGGGTTTGAACCGTGGTTACTGGATTTAAAGTCCAGGGTGCTAACCACTACACTACAGGAGCTCACTTATTACGGTTATCGGTTATCGGGTATCGGTACGGTGGATACCTGTCTCGGGCTAGTTCTTGAGAACAGGTGAGGTGGTTCCTTGTGCCTCCCCGTCGCCATCTACTGCGACAGTAGTAAGTGACTAGTGAATGGCATGACTAGTGCACCGTGTAGGTCCGTGCGTGGGGGGGGGGGGGGCAGCTCAACTCCCTCCCCCTCCCCAACGGCGGCAACCCCCCGGGTTTTCTTTTACAAAACAGGTATCTTGATCGAAAGGAAACCGTACACCGCGAGGGTAGGAGCAGAAAGAAGAAAGGGGCCCCTGGAGCATTTCGCTGACCGCGACTTTGTACACGAGAGGTGTAGAATAAGTGGGAGGCCGCAACAACGAAATACCAACTACTCTTGTTGTCGCTTTACTTATCCAATGACGGGAAGACGGCAGCTGCTCCCTTGTGGGGTTAGGGTCTTCGGATCCGTAGCTTATCCGTTTCCAGCGACAAACGGGCTTCGGCTCGCGAATCCTCGTTTGGAGACACCAGTCAGGCGGGGAGTTTGACTTAAACTCCATTTCAGGCGGCGGCTGCTGATGGGAGGGTCCTACTCTCGGGCGGTTCAGTTTCCTCACACATTGCACGTGGCTACAAAAATAGAAGAGAGGGGGAGGGGGGGGGTGGGGCAATCAATGCCAAGCTAGTTCGGAGAGGAAAGGTTGAAAGGGTGGGTGGAGGCCCGGTCTTTTCGCTGCAGCAAGTGGCGCGGGAGTCGCGGTCGATGGAAAGCTACGGTGGCGCGCGGGCTTCTCAGTGAGACCAACCTGTGTCACGCAACATCCCCTTTCGCCAGCAGGGATTTTCAGATACGAGGACAGGCTTGGTATTTGCGGAACTTGCCTCATCCAAGTTTTAATTCAGAAGGTTTTCAGCAACTGTAGTGTTACCAAAATCGCAAGTACATGAATTCTAGTCGAGTTGGGTAGGAGTACTAGATAGCAAGCAGGTTGTGGCATCAAAAAGAAAAATTAGTACTTTTGTAGGACTTGGGTATGGCCTGTTGAATAACACCATGCTAGCAAACAGGTTGTGACATCAAAATGGAAATAGAGAACTTTTGTAGGAGGGTATGGCCTGTTGAATAACACCATGCTAGCAAACAGGTTGTGACATCAAAATGGAAATAGAGAACTTTTGTAGGAGGGTATGGCCTGTTGAATAACACCATGCTAGCAAACAGGTTGTGACATCAAAATGGAAATAGAGAACTTTTGTAGGAGGGTATGGCCTGTTGAATAACACCATGCTAGCAAACAGGTTGTGACATCAAAATGGAAATAGAGAACTTTTGTAGGAGGGTATGGCCTGTTGAATAACACCATGCTAGCAAACAGGTTGTGACATCAAAATGGAAATAGAGAACTTTTGTAGGAGGGTATGGCCTGTTGAATAACACCATGCTAGCAAACAGGTCGTGACATCAAAATGGAAATAGAGAACTTTTGTAGGAGGGTATGGCCTGTTGAATCAGACGTGCGTGCGTGCGTGTGAGTGTCTCGGTCACCTGCGGCCTATTGTTTCCGACCGGCGCGCCACTGCGCATGTGCAAACGCCCTGGCCAAAGAGCAAAATGGGCGGCAGCAGCCACCCGGATTTTTTTTTTTTTCGAGTGAAAGCTCGCTTGAGAGTCCGGGGGGTTAAAGTCTCCGGGGTGACCTTCGTCAGGTGGGGCTTTTCTTTTTGAGTAAAAGACGCAGAAAGACTGCGGAAGTGGGTTCAAATTAAAAACGGGCAGTGCGTGTAGGTGCGGGTTGTTGTAGTCTTTTTTTGCGAAAAGAAAGCGAGGAAAACGGGGCCCGGTGCTGAGAGATTGCTTTTCGGGGACGTGATTGCGGCCAGCCATTGGAAAACAATTATGCACGGCTATCGTTAACTGAAATGAGCAAAAAAAAAAAGTGGTAGTAGGTAGTAGTATGTGTCGTTCTAGTTCGGAAGCAAAGCCTGGAAATAAAAGTTCGTCGCACAACCGCGGCTGATACAAAACTAATGATGATGATGATGATGGGAAGAGAGAGTTGTTTTCGTTGAACACAGGGCCTGATCGTTTTCACGGAAGCTGGATTCAGGACGCTAGTGAAAACGCCACGGTTTGCACCGACGAGCTTCTCACTTCCTCCAACATTTCATGTTTGGTAAAAATACTCGAGGGGCTGCCTTGTGCTTACTTCGAAGGAGGCTAGAGGGGGAGAAACAATACAACTACAAAATGGGTCTTTTTTGTTGAACGCTTACGCCCGCCACTAAACCCAGATTCACCTGTGTTTCGTGTGGGCTACAGCACATTTACCTCCTTTGATCTTTTGCAGCTGGCAGCCTCCTCAAGTATTTCCTACAAAGCAGGTGCTTATACAAAAAAAGAATGGAGCAATCTTTACAAGCAAAGCGGCGCCGATCCGAGCGCACACAGCAGCAGCGACGTCGGCCGTCAGGATGGCCTCTGTCATGAGAGCACAATGAGGGTGCAGTAGTCGGAGCAAGCTTGAACGTTCACCAATATTTAAATAATGGCAACGTGTTTGCTACCGTCAAAGAGAGCAGTGCAAAAGGAGCCGCAGCAACGGGAAAACGTGTGAAGATGGTCGGCATCAACCCATCTCCCATGCCAACTGAAGGAATGCGCCATGGTGGAGGTACCTACGGCAGTCAAGGCTTCTAAAGGCGTGCCTTCAGAAAGATTGACCCGCATCAAGGCTTCTGGAATGCACATACGAGCGATAGTTACGTGCGCGCCACAACCACGAGCCTATCGCCAACAGCAAAGCACCTACTACTTGCCGCAGAAATACTCGACGTAGCTGCTTCGACTCCGAATGGAAGGGAGGAAAAAAAGAGGTAAGGGGCAAATACAACACGTGTGTTGTTTATCACTCAGGACTTTGACCTGTTGTGTTTGTGTGATTTGTCGTGTAGGGGTAAACCCACATGACCTTACGTCCGTTCAACACGTGGTTCGGTAGGTACAGCACTTGGGATCCCTTCTGTTCTTTGTCGGGCAGCATCGTCGAGCATTTCCTTTCAAGCTGGCGCTTATGTAAATGCTGTGTGGGGATGCATGCCGATACCACCATCAGCAGGTATCCTTTGGTTTCCCTTTTTCCTTTTGTGCTAATGAAACGCAACAGCACGGGAGGGGGGGGAGGAGAACTTGAGGAAGTCAGGCAGGAGAGGTGTGGCAAACAGCGGAGAGGGAGAAGCTTAACAATCTCGTTCTGCTACTTTTTTCTTGCTTATTTTTCATTTTTGGTGGTTTTTTGTTTAATTCGTCGGTCTTGGTCACCTTGGCAAATTGCTTCCTGCACGAACTCCGTGGGCTAAATGGAGGGTGTGGAAGACATGTTTAGGCGAGCTTGAGTCTGGCTCAGGGGGCTTTTTTCGTAGTAACAAATAATTGTAAACACGAAAGAGAACGCTGGCAGCGTGTTTGGGAGAAGATTAGCCTACCGATCATATTCACTCACTATCACTCACTAACAGGCTAATCCTCCCCCGGCACGTACAAACAAACACACGCTTATTCTTTTTTCGCCTTCAATCGCATTCTTTGCAACAGACATGGCGCACGAACTTATCCGAGTCTCGAGCGAATTGTGCCGATACTTTGAGTTTCTCAAATTTGAGCTCTCCAGCAACACCATCGTCCTAGTTATTAGGCGCAAACACCAGCCCTTCTTTCGTTCAAGCGCTGTCCCTCACACGTCGGCCTGAAAAAAGGCTCCGCTGGACTCGCTGAGGTACGTTATTACAGTAGGTCATGTCCGTAAAGCTGGATTCAGGACGCAAGTGAAAACGCCACGGTTTGCGGCGACGTGCTTCTCAGTTTCTCCAACATTTCATGTTTGGTAAACCGCTAGCGCGCACAAACAAAAGAAAGCGCCATACTATTTTTTGGTTAAAAGAATAGGCGTGTGTTCGTTTGTACGTGACGGGGGAGGATTGGCCTGTTAGTGATTGATAGTGGGTGAATTTGATCGTTAGGCCAATCTTCTCCCAAACACGCTGCCAGCGTTCTCTTTCGTGTTTACAAAGCATTGTTTACTACGAAAAATACTCGAGGGACTGCCTTGTGCTCATTTCGAAGAAGGCCAGAGGGGGAGAAAACAATACAACTACATAGTGGATCTTTTTTTGTTGACGCCTACGCCCGCCACTAATCCAGATTTACCTGTGTTTCGTGTGGGCTTACAGCACATTTACCTCCTTTGATCTATCGCAACTGGCAGTCTCCTCAAGCATTTCCTACAAAGCAGGTGTTTAGACAAAAAAAAAACGACTTCGGAGCTTTTTCGCCCAAAAATACTCGGAGGCGTTGCCCGGTGGTCATATCGGCGGAGGCTAGAGACCGTCCACAGCTACAAATGGGCGTTTTTTTTCGGTTTCGGGGCCTGTGTTTCGTGTTTGCAGCGCGTGAACCCCCAATCCCCCCCGCTTGCTATACCTAAAAAGTAGGTGCTTATGCAAACGATGCGTTTTTTGGGCGGAAAAAAGGAACCGCATGGCCCATGCCGTGGTTGCCATGGTGTCACAAGAAACTTGCGAGAAGGACAAAAAGAAGAACATAAAGAGGAGAACTGCCATTGGAGTGCTACGTTTTTAATTTAAAGCGGGTCTTTCTTTCTTTTTAAACGATTCAGTTCTACACCTACCCTTTGTCCCCTTGCATCTACGGCACAGCCGGTATGGAAGGTCTTGGGAGTATAATGAGACTTAAAGGACCGTTTTGTGCGTATTCTGTGCTAGAGGATGTGGGGGGTCCTGCGTTGGCGCGTTCTAGTTGGTTCCTGAAGTATTCCTTTCTCACGGGCGGCTATTTCTTCCAGAGTTGTTCCCACTTGTACCGGTTCTACTAAAATGAAGGTGCGCTGAATAGCGCTGACACTCCCACCCACCCACGAGATTGACTAGTGCTTCGTGTGGGTTACAACACATGTTTTCCCATGTTCGCAACGAAGGCGTTCTCCTCG